ACATAATAGGTAAAAATGTCAAAAATTGGAGTACAGCAGTCAACATTGTAAATCCTCATGGTCTCACTTGAAATATTTTTTGAAAAATTTGCAATAAAAGCTTGTTATGTGATTAATCTTTATTAAAACAGGAGGAGGTATGATAAGAGTAAATATTTGGCCAATGACATCGCAAAAAAAATTAAACTTTATTCAATCGTTTCAAAATCCTGTTTATGTTATTGATAAATGAACCAGTTGCTTTTATCTGGAAATTTAGTACAGAAAGGTCACTTGGGATGTCAATATGACGTCATAAACATGTCGACGTTTACGTGTTTGTCCTAATTGGCAATTTCACATATATTTCTTTCTATGTAAAACGCTTGCTAATATCCTAAATATCAGAAATGACAATATCTTGTCATACCTTTTCCTTTACCGATGTTAATCATTGCTGCCTATAAGTAGATTTTATTGGGTTTTTTCTTCTTGACACCCTCTGGTCTAGCCTCATTAATATTCTGAATTGGCATCGTCATGTTACATTTTTTTTTAATGTCAATGAGCCTCGGTCTATTATTGATGTAAAATCGGGGCTATGTTGTGCTAAGTATATAATTGTATTTATAAGACACTGTCTTGTCTAATATTTAGTACCCATGTTGATCTATAGATTGATCCGTTTTGTTGTAAGAAGACCAAATATCGCATTTTTCGTATCTATCTGATAATGTGAGTTTCTTAATTACCTTTTGCTATTGATAAAGGGGTTTACGGTATAACTGATTCGGTGGTATTAAGGTAACTCATCTCTTTTAAAGTCTTACGGACTTAACTGGCTATGCATATATTTTACTCGTCGTTGCCACAATCCCTTCCTGCTTTCTATTTTCATTACGTGTCTCCGGAAATGACTAACAACTGGCTGACACTACGGCTGCAAATTACAGAACAGGAACATCATTCCCTTCCGGAGCACCAACGCTAACTCTTGATTTTTGTTAGATTTGTGTTGTTCAATCTGTAGTCTTGTGTGTAATATTTTGTAGATACGGAATTAGAAGATGTTATTTCATTGCCAATGGTACAATAAAAAGTAAAATAACAAAAATACCGAAAATTCTAAAAAGAAAGTCCGTTATCAAATGGCAAAATCCAAAGCTCACACACATCAAACGAATGTAAAACAAATGTCATATTCCAGACATGGTACAGGCATTTCCGTATGTAGAAAATGATGGATTAAACCTGGTTTTATAGCTAGATAGGCCTCTTACATGTATGACAGTCGCATAGAATTCCATTATATTGGTCGGATTATAATCCGATGTTGTGATACGCTACGCCCCTGCATGGTGGAGAGTATCGTAGCGAAAACTAACAACTGATTTTCATGAGATTGTCAATGGTACAAATATCCATATGGCTCCAAAGGACAAAAATATAAATTACTACAGGTTTTCAAGAACGAACAAAAATTATGGAAGACAGCAGTCAACGACGATCACTGAATAATCCGGGCTACTAAACGGACAGTACATAAAGAATGTACCTAGAGTAAACATGTTGTTGATCGCTCAACCTCCTGCCCTACATGAAAGGGAGATGTAACAGCACCACATAATAGCATACTACAAAATCTGTTGGATTTGGCTTGAGGCGTCAGATCGGTGCAAAGCACAAAAAACAACTATCAAAATACAATGAACGCAACGTATCGATCTAAGAGTACTCGCAGTTACTGAAAGCTAGTTCATACCCCAATTTCAACTAACAAAAAAATCCATGTTTTCCCAGACTAAAATATCAATCATTACACATTCGATGGATTAAAACGTCATACACAGTCTGAGGAAAGCATGACCATGTGCAATGCTTAAATATAAGTATCGACAGCCTGAAGAACCATAAGGGTTTATAAATGGATAATATAAAATGTTTAGTGTTGTATAAAATCATTTGAAACAAAGTCAATGTTCAAAAATCTTAAAACAATGTTAAATTGATACCCTTCAAGAATAAGTTTATTCAAAGGATCAATAAGTTTACATTGATCGTTTCTGAACTTAGCAGCTCTATATAAAATAGCAAGTCATTTCGTACCTTGACCATTTCGTACCCATAATTACCATTTAGTACGAAACATTTACTATTTCGTATCCATGATTAAAACCATTTCGTACCCTATGGTCCAACAGCATTAACTATTTCGTACCTCATAGACTAAATACTAGTACATATTACTATTTAGTATCATATATTTGTAAATCGTTGAAATTTTGTAAAATGTTATTAAAGAGGTAGGGCCAATTTCCCCTGAATTTTTTTCACAGAAGGGCCAATTTCAAAAAGTGCTTAAAGAATAAAATTTACGATAAAAACATGAAATAAAAATGTTTTTTGGTCAATATCTCGTTTTTTATGTATTATGTTATGTCTGGAAAATAGTTAATTTAACCTCCAAAAAAGGATGAAAGTCAAATATGCGGAATTTATCGTGTTTTGAGTTGGAAAAACAGGGAATCCCCCTAGAAGGACACTTCAAACCAAAACAAAGTTATGTTTTTTGTTGTTGTTGTAATTTATACAACTTTCCACCTCAAAAATGAAATTGGTTTATATAGTGTGTCCTTAATACCTAAAAAACAACCTTTTTAATAAAAAGTGGAACATCACTAAATTTTACCTATATAGCTGCTTAAAATCAACAATGTTTTCAAGAGTCGCCGTGGCTCCGTCGGTAGCGCTTAAAACTGTAAATAATGGATTGTTTTTAAGATAGGGTTCAAATCTCACGCTAATTTTTCTCATTTTTTATGTTGAAATATTAAAATGTTATGTTTCTATCACATTTTTTCGGATGTTTGTTTAATTCAAAGAGTCACACTGAAGTAGGTGCTTGTACATAACCAATAACACGAGAATTGATTATATAGCAATGAAGCCCAAATGTTGTGTGTGTTATACACATAACGAAAAAAGGCCATAGCAGAAAAATTTCAAAACAATAAAAATATTTTTGCAAAATCTTGAACAAGAACGTTTTAGAAAATGGTATGATATGTAACAAATGAAGACAGTAATTTTATCGCCAATCCACCAACTGTGTAGATACTAGTACTGGCATTGTTACATTGTACCACCGTCCCTACACCGGAACCTAAGTCATCAGAAAATGAAACAACATCACAGAAAAAAATCAATTACACTACCAATCGTGACTGTAGATAAAACATCAAGAAAGTGTTGAATCTGTATCACAACATAGGGTCGATCCATTTGGTACAATGCCATACAGAAAAGACCAGATTACATGTATTTGTTACTCAAGTCGTTCTAGTACCAACTGGTGTAAGCTGTTGTCCGGTTAATATAGACGGTAAACCTTAAAAGCTGGAACAGTGTATAGGTATAGATACATCCAGATTGAGGAAAACAACATCCCAGTTAAATGCGTCCGATATTTTTTGGCTTCCTGGCATTAAAACAGAGACCGGTCTTTAATCAGATTAGCTGATTTATATTCTACAGACCTCTGATTTGTTTAATTAAGGAGTACATCGAAACTGTATTGATTTTGATTTCACTTTGTTTGTTTGGAGGATTTATTCTCAATTAATTTTTCAAAAATATACAGTTAATTAACCAACAAAGGAATGATTATCTGCAACTGTTTTTATAGTTATTAACAGTTGATTTTGCAAGGAAATGCAGTGAAAAGGAAAATAAGCTGATATTCACGCAAGGAATTTGTATTTTTATTTATTCATGAGTCAGTTATAAGGACATGTGGAGTATACATCAATGAAACAGGTACGAGGATGAATACATATAAACCTTTCATAAGGAACAAAATTGCATATATATATCAATCTTCCTTGAGGTATGAAATAGCACGCATATAAATCTTCCGTGAGGTACGAAATTGTATACATATAAATCTTCCGTGAGGTACGAAATGGTAGACATATAAATCTTCCATAAGTTACCAAATGGCATACATATAAATCTTCCGTGAGGTATGAAAATACATATTCATGTATAAATATATATAAATGTTCCATAAGGTACGAAATGGCATGCATACATATAAATATTCCATGATGTACGAAATGGCATACATATAAATAATCCATGAGGTACGAAATGACATACAAAAAAAGATTCCATTAGATACAAAATGGTTTTTGCCAGGGTACGAAATGGGGGGTACGAAATGACTATAATTCCTATCAACCACATCACCATAAACATCTTGATGTTATTAATATGGTTTTAAAAAATTTGTGGTTACAACTATTCTAATTGTCTTTTTTTTCCCTTTTTTTCAAAGTAAGATCAAAAGCTCATTTACTGACCGTTCCAAAATTGTCTACTTGAATCTTCCATTTAGATTAAATCTTAAAAGATCGGAAAACAAATTTCGGGTGCAGTAGTCGGATTAGGTTAATTGTGATGATGTTACTATGTATTATGAATCTCCAAATTTTATTTTCAAAAGTTATTGTGTACATGGTATTAAAATTTTAAAAAAGACCTTAAGTAATAAAACTGCAACTTAAATTTCTAAAATATAGCAGAGAAGAGTGAGGATCAAATAGCACCGAAGGTAGCAAAAACCTGGTAAATCAACAGACGATATTAAACCGTCTTATCAAATTTTAAGATTCATAAGTTTCGACGCAGACGACATCTTGAGTAACCTTTTTGTACCCCTCTAAAGAGATTGATATAACGTAGATTTTTAATGAAAACTGCCTACTCTCGGATTTGACCTTTTTGTTGAAAACATAGCTATGCATTTGATAAACACAGCATGTCACGCGTACATTACGCCAAGAACTGGATAATGTTTCCGCTTTCCCCAAGGTAAAATGACACATTAATATCGTTTTAATGTTTTTGAAACAGATGAGATGTTTTTTTTTACAAAAAATTAACAATTAAAACGATTATCATTTATTATAAAGTTAGGACAAATTGTTCAAATAGTATATAAGAATCAGATACATCAAAATACCAATCATTTGAAAAATATAATTTCCAGCACACAGATAAACTTATAGTTCAAGAATGAAATCTAACATCATGTTCTTCATAGTTGTGCTTATTTCATTTAGAGAATGCCATTCTTGGTGCACAGCGGAGCCTGTTTCAGGTAATTAAGGTATTTGATATACGCATGCATTGTCGAACATTTTTTGAGACTAGTGTAACTAAATCAATCTTTTCTTATTTATCTAAAATGTAAGGAATTACTGAATCCGGTTATATGAAACATGTCACCGTTAGTTAATGAAAATGTAAATAAACTATTTATCTAAACTTTAAAATCATAACTTTATAACTTATTTGTGTGTGTATGTGTGTGTGTGTGTGTTTTATATAAAATATAATTTCTTTGAAGTTTCATTTTATAACACGGAAAATTAATTATTTCTAGTATTGTAAATTTGCCAAAAGAAAACAACCTCTGTAATGGAGTTTACGTCTGATTCTTAAACTGATTAAGGGTTAATACATGCTAGTTCAATATGATATATAAGAACTTTAACTCAGAATAAGTGTTAAAATCAAACTCATGTTAGGCCACATACGCAGAAAAATGGAAAAATATAAATATATTCTAAATTTTCAAACGCCAAGGGTAACTGGGGAATAGAAGTCTTGTCACATGTGGTCTTCTTCCGACTGGCAGGAAAAGCCTTGTCAAAATGGGTGTACATTTGGCTATGCGGGCGTCATAAATACACAGCCGCGTACGGACAGAATAGGGACGTTAAATCTAATGCCTCGTGTAGAGAGAGTGCCACGCTCCTTGCAAGTTAAGAACCCTTGCTTGCAAAAACTCTTTGAGGGGTCTTTAGTGGGCCTGTAGGGAGGCGAAATATCTGTCCCTATCCAATCCCCTCATTTCCCAGTGGCAATCCAAAATTCCCGTTTTTACTTCTGGATGACCCCATATGACAGGACCTACCTATTGTAATTTTTGTTAGCTTGTTTACGTGTTGAACATGATTAAATATTTGCCGCTTTCGTGAAACAAACAAAAAATCAATCAATCTATCAATTAATCAATCTAAATTTTCAGTTAACTTTTGTCTTTGGAAGTTTTATATGGGGAAGGTTTTTATCTCACGATGTACTCAGTCAAATGAAATGCTTAATATTAAAACTCGTTCAATTTGGGCAATGTTTGCAATTACCGATGAATTCGGCTACTTATAACTGTGTTTTTTGCTATTGTTATGTATTTTTCTTTCCTTTCTTCAAATAATATTCAGACATTGTATTATGAAAAAATAGCAGCATTTAACCAAAATAGACAAACGACAGCCTATACACAGTGACTTAAAATTAATTAAAAAAAACTGGTAATATTTAATTCGAAATTATCTAACACCGGTAATGCATTTATCTGTTTTAACTTACTGCCTTTAAGTTATTTTTTTAGTATAAATGCACATAAAATAGAAGAAAAACTTTGTTTGAATGGTCTTAAAATCATTATTCGTCAATAAGCAAGACTAAGATTTTTCTTAAACTTTTTATGTTGTTGCTAGATGAATTTCCATGACATTCATATAAAATAATTTTCATTCTTTTTATGCATTAATAAATCTCTTACTGTGAAAAAATATTTTCGCACTGATAACTCTTATTTTCAATGACAAAAACACTTACATCGAATTTGATAACATAATGATTATTTACATCAATAAAAACATAAAGCATAGAGTCTAAAGAAAATCTTTAACATCGCCTATTAACTGATGCCAAGATAGCTTAGAAAAGATGAGATTGGACAAGGTTTTGTCGACTGTTATAAGAAGCGAGTACAAATAAAGATAAAATTAAAAGGTTATTACATTTGTGTGCATTTTAAAATATAATGCATCTACAAAAATATTACATTTTTAGTATAGAAATGAAACTAATAGCAGGTAAAGCTCTAAATCCCCGTGAGTCTAGCAACTTTTCTTTTTAAATGTCAATGTGGCGGTCAATGGTGAACCAAATGTTTGTCTTTACCTATTCCTTCTACTTAAACGAGAGATAAAGAGGATACTTTGTGGGTTTTGTGTTTTTTGTTTAAAGGACAGCTAAATGTAATCTCTATTCCGGCAGTAAATTCACTGGTTAAGGAAAATAGATTATAAATGTAACACTGAAAATCTAAAACTATTCATATTCATACACTTCATAATACATGTTGAACAATTTCGTTTCGAGTTATATAAAATATATCTTGATTTAACAGAGGTTTGTTTTTCTTTCAAGAAAATTCTCTTGTGTGTAGCTATGAAGGTAACGTCATACAAAAAGGTGGGAGCAGAACCTTTAACAAGCCCAAGTGTGTAAAGTGCAGCTGTTCTCAAACAACGCTTTCGTGCTGTTCGTAAGTCTTTAGACTCATCGATTCTTTAACAAAAAATCTTGCGATTAAAATTAATCGCAAGTCATAGCTTACGAGTATTTTCACTCATTCGATGTTTGGAAAAGGGTCAAACTATCAACTTTTTGAAACTCTCAATTACATTGATAAAAAACTGTTGTTTTTTTTATAGCCGACAGTAATGATACAAAATCAATGTCATTATCTATTCGCAACTGGGCGTGAAGCAAACAACAACCAATCAACAAGTCTTATTTGAATTCCTAAATAAATTTTAATCTAACCTTACCTGCATTTTCTTGATTCGTGAAATATTTCATTCAAAATTTTTTTAAAGATACGTATGTGATTTATATTATGTATATACATGAGTCAATACAGTGATGTTGTTTGATATTAGATATAACTTTTGTAGCTAAATACCTGGATGTTGTTTTTTAAATTTAGTATTATACAAGATGCATGATACCGTATAGGGGTTATTTTCGCGGGGTGTAAATTTTCGCTTATTTTCGCGGATAGAACGAAATTGCCAAAATAAATTCAGCCAATTCAAAAGTGTACATGCAATGGTATTGTATAAAAGTTTTGAATCCGCCAAAATATTTTGTATACCTTATTCAATGAAAATCGCGACATTTTACACCCGCGAAAATAACCCGCTATACGGTATTTTATTCAAACATTAACGGTTCCCGAAGAATGAAAAGACAGAAACAAATAATATGTAAAATACAAAATGTTCATGAAAACTTTAGTTATATCTTTCTTCTAATTCAAACACATTTAGAATTATAAAACCAGACTACAAATGATTAAATGATATTAAAAAAATTGAATTTTATAGATATAAAACTAATATGAAAATAAGAAGATAAGAAGATATGGTATGATTGCCAACAAGACACCTTTCCAACAGAGACCAAATGACGTAGAAGTTAGCAACTTTATGTCACCGTTCGGACGGTCTTTAACAATGAGCAAACCCCATACCGCATAGCAGACTATAAAGAGAAAGGCAAAACAATTCATACGAGAAAACAAACGGCCTGAGTTATGTATAAAACAATAAACGAAAAACAAATATGATATACAGCAACAAAAGACAAACACTGAAATACAGGTTCCTGGCTTTCGACCGGCACATACAAAACTACAAAAATCATTCGAAAAAGTCGTATCTTATCAGATCGATACAAAACACAAAACAACTAACAAAACACTATAAACACAAAGTAGAGATTTAAGAGTACTCGCAGTTACTGAAATTTAGTTCAAAACCAATGACGGCTGATAGCAAAACCATCAATCTAAGACTTCAATATAAATCAGTACACATACAAAATCCAATAGATTTGGTGTAAAGACGCCATACACAATCAAAGTAAATCCTGAATTTGTGCAATGCCGAAAAACATGTATCGACAGAATGTAGGATAATGTTATTTTCATAAATTTTGGCGGACTGTTTTTAAGATATTTGAATTAACTACACTTTGTTACACCTTAAATGAAGACGTCTTTTCGTTTTCTTATGATATTTTTATACCTTCCGTGTGCTTTATAACAATAAATAATGCAAATTTTTATTAGTGTTTTGAGGTGTGTTGAGAGGATTTTGATGATAATTTGAAATGTATACATAAAAAAATATGCAGAAGATATCAAAGGGAGAATCAAACTCTTAATAATAAATAGAGCAACACAATCGTGACAAAAACAGGAAAAACGACGAAAAAACAAGCAGCAGTCTACAGAACACTACATCAAGACCAAACAGTACGAACCCTCTGGAAGAGTAGGCAGCTCCTGTTCAACATGTCGGATACCCATCGTTTCAAACCAATAAGTATTTTTTTAAAATAAAAGTAGTATTCATCGACATCCTATGATCAATGTCTTCTCAAAGAATATACATAAAAATGAGAATGGAAATGGGGAATATGTCAAAGAGACAACAACCCGACCAAAGAGCAGACAACAGCCGAAGGCCACCAATGAGTCTTCAACGCAGCGAGAAAATCCCGCAACTGGAGGTGGTCCTCAGCTGGCCCCTAAATAAAATTGTGTACTAGTTCAGTGAAAATGGACGTCACACTAAACTCCAAAACATATAAATGAACTAAAATTAAAAAACATACAAGACTAACAAAGGCCAGAGGCTCTTGACTTGAGACACAGGCGCAAAAATGCGGCAGGGTTAAACATGCTTTGTGAGATCTCAACTCTCCCCTATACCTCTAGCTAATGTAGAATAAAAACACATAGTAATACGCACAGTAAAACTCAGTTTAAAAGAAGTCCGAGTCCGATGTCAGAATAGGTAACAAAAGAAACCATTAAAATGACAATGATACATAAACGAACAAAGGACTACTAGCAGTTACTGACATGCCAGCTCCAGACCTCAATTAAACTGATTGAAAGATTATGTCTTCATATGAAAATCAAGTACAATCCCTCCCGTTAGGGGTTTAGTATCATACCATCATAAAATGTATAAGAAGAACATAACCCGTATCATGCCAACAACTGGTTTTAGAATAAATGTGTTTATTTCCGATGCAAAGACCCTATGAGTGAATCAATATTAATACCAAAATATGCAATCCTTAATGACTTGACAACAGTATCGTAACTATATCCTTTCCGATAAAGGTTTGGTTAGCTTTTGAGGTTAATGCCGATATTTTTGTGCTTTGTAAAGAATATTACTATCAAATATTGGATGTGAAATATATGGAAAGTAAAAAGTTCCAAAAAGAAATATGTATATAAAATTGAGAATGGAAATGGGGAATGTGTCAAAGAGACAACAACCCGACCATAGAACAGACAACAGCAGAAGGTCACCAACAGGTCTTCAATGCAGCGAGAAATTCCCGCACCCGGAGGCGTCCTTCAGCTGGCCCCTAAACAAATATATATACTAGTTCAGTGATAATGAACGCCATACTAAACTCCAAATTGTACACAAGAAACTAAAATTAAAAATAATACAAGACTGACAAAGGCTAGAGGCTCCTGACTTGGGACAGGCGCAAAAATGCGGCGGGGTTAAACATGTTTATGAGATCTCAACCCTCCCCCTATACTTCTAGCCAATGTAGAAAAGTAAACGCATAACAATACGCACATTAAAATTCAGTTCAAGAGAAGTCCGAGTCTGATGTCAGAAGATGTAACCAAAGAAAATAAACAAAATGACAATAATACATAAATAACAACAGACTACTAGCAGTTAACTGACATGCCAGCTCCAGACTTCAATTAAACTGATTGAAAGATTATGTCTTCATCATATGAATATCAGGCACAATCCTTCCCGTTAGGGGTTTAGTATCATACCATCATAACATATATGAGAAGAACATAACCCGTGTCATATATATATATATCATTGTAGAATAGGCATTGAAATAACAAGTGTGGGGCCAGAATGTAAAATTGTTCAGGATGGTTGTACTCAACGAGCAGTTTTGAAGTCGGATAGCAATAAAAAATGCTCTTCGGTTACTGCAGTTGGCAGGTAAACCAGTTTGACACTGATTCGTATTGGTAGAAGTGTTGTGGTATTTTGAAATTAAAGCCATGTTCCAGACCGTATGACACTTTTAACATGAAATAAATATACATAAGTTTATATTAAAGAAAAGATTGTATTGTTTTTTTGGAATCTATATTTTGACCACTACAAGTTAGTTATAACGGTACCGGTATTACCGTATGCAAGCCTCAAATATGTGTCTTTTCCTCAGACCTGTGCCTTATTCTATATTGCCTCAGAGACGTTCAAATATTTGTCCTTTTCAGCAAGTCATGCCCTATGTGTTGACTTCAGAATTATCAAAATATCACCAAGGAAATAATATGTTGTTAAAGACATCAATAAGACTAGTTTTATATTCGAATTAAATTGGTATCAGTTGAGGCCATTGAAAAATTAATGTGTGTCGAACTATTTACATGGGATCTTACAGTTTCTTATATATTTCAGTCGTAAATTAGCCACATTATCCCATTTTTTCTTTTCTTTTTATTGTTTATTAGTGAAAGCAGTCCGAATATAAACTGTTATTCTCTCTCAATATACACATGTTTGTCAAAACGCTTTTTGGAGGTTTGTCAAATTAGTAACGAAGCCTTGAAGACCAAACGTTAAAATTGATTCAAGCACTCTAAGATCGTAGTCCAAATAATTATGACGTCTTTATTTTTTCTTTTGCTGTGACGCCTTCATACGACGTAATAATTACGACGTCTTGAAAGAGTTTTTTTGTGATATCTATGATGAATTTATTTTCAACTACTGGGTCGATGCCACAGCTTGTGGAGTTTTACTCTCCGAGGGTATTACCAGCCCAATAGTCAGCACTTCTGTGTTGACATGATATATCATTGATATGGTCATAATTACAAGTATTAATTGTCTTCAAAACTTTTTTTTCGAAATACTAAGGATTTTCTACCCAAGGAAAAGATTAACTTAGCTGTATTTGGCAAAACCTTTCGGGACTTTGGGTCTTTAATGATCTTCAACTTTGTACTTTATTTTGTCCTTTTAAGCTTTTTTGATTCGAGCGTCACCGATGAGTCTTTTGTAGACAAAATGCGCGTCTGGCGTACAAAATTTTAATCCAGGTATCTATGACGAGATTATTTCTTACGATGTTATAATTATGAGGTCCTGCAAAAAAAGTTGAATTTCATTATATTTTTGTGATACCTTTTCTGAAACCATTGACACTCATCTTTCAAGAGATCAATTAAAAATATATACATTTTACCTCATTTTTCATTTTTTTCTTAGTCATGTTGTTTTGACCACTCAACCATTCAGAATTGATTAAGCCCCTCGTCTAATAGGCAAACGTTTTAATTTATATTAGTCATTTACTACTTAAATCAATAGTAATACTTTTACATAGCCATTGTATTTTGATCCCCCTACCATGGAAAATTTAACCCCCTCCCATAAGAGGTCAAAACTGTTTTTCAAAATAAATTTACTCTAGTTTTATGGTTGTAATAATAAGTATCATGAATATAACACAAAATTTTAACCCCTTTTTTCTTTTTGAATGAAACAAACATATGAGTTTGAAAAAAATTCATAACACTTTTTCTGAGTCATGGTATTTTGATACCCCCCCCCCCCCCCCACCCAACATGGAACATTTAACCTTCCGCTAACAGCATTTACACCACTTTGATTAGTTACAACGGTGGCGTATGCCTTAGGCGAAATGACAGCGGAACACGTGGCCAACACAGCCTTGTCCAATGAAGATCAAACAATGAAGCATGTCCCAACACAAAACTATAACACACATGAAATTGTAACCATCATATAATAGTGCTTACACTGGGTTACTAGAGTAACAGTCAGTTTAAAACAAAAAACAGAAAACAAAGAACACAACGTACGGATATAAGAGTACTCGCAGTTACTGAGAGCTAGTTCAAAAGCCCAATTTCAACTAACAAAAAAAGTTTTCCCAGACTAAAATATCAATCAATACATCTCCGACGGTTTTAGTGAAGAAACGTCATAAGTAGGTTGAAAAAAAGCAGGACATCGTGCAAAATCAAAGTTTTGTAAGCAGTTAATTTATAACCTCCACCTGCAGTGGCATCTACCCAGTGGTTGTAAATAAAAGCATCATAGATGTCAGGATTAAAGTTTTGTACGCCAGACGCGCGTTTTGTCTACAAAAGACTAATCAGTGATGCTCGAATCAAAAAGTCAATGTAAATAACTACAGGTCACCATACGGTTTCAAGAACAACAAATAATTACGGAAGGGAGACAGGCACATACAGAATGTAGCACGATTGAATATGTTTTTGAGCGCTCAACTCTCTCCTCTACCTAAAGGTGTAACAGCGCAAAATATAAGAACAAACTACACAATCTGCGCTTGATTCGTCAGAACGGTGAAAAGCACAAAAACAACTAAAAGAAGACAAAGAACACAACGCATCGATCTAAGAGTATTCGCAGTTACTGAAAGTTAGTGCAAAACCCAATTTCAACTTACAAAAATAAACATGTTTTCCCAGACTAAATTATCAATCAATACACCTCCGACGGGTTAGTATTAAAACGTCATAAGCAGCCTTAGAAAAGCATGACATTGTGCAATGCCAAAATATAAGTATCGATAGCCTGAAGAACCATAAGTGTTAATAAATAGATATTATAACATGTTTAGTGGTGTATTAAATCATTAAAAATAAAATCAACGTTCAAAGATCTTAATATAATGTTGAATTGATACCTTCAAGAATAAGTTTATTCAAAGGATCGATAAGTTTAAATGCGTCTTTTCAGAGTTTACGAGCTCTATAAACCGCATCACCGTAAAAATTAGGATGTGATACCCCCTTTATTAATTTCGTGCAGTGGCCCAGATCAGGTTTATTGTGATGATGTTGCTATGTATTATGAAATTCCAAATCTAATTTTCAAAAGTTATTGTGTACATGGTATCAGAATTTAAAAAAAAGACCTTAAGTAATAATGGTGTAACTAAAGTTTCTTAAAAATGAAAAGAGAAGAGTTAGGGGCACAAAGCACTGAAGGAAGCCAAAAGAGCAGAACGTTTGATAGCATGACGATATTACATCGTCTTATCAAATTTTAAGATGCAAAGCTTCAAAAGCAGACGACATCTTTAGTTTTTGTTATTAGTTATCTTTTGGGTAATAAATTGGATCAGTTTTGATAAAGTTGATAAAGTATGACAGAGATATACGACTAGTTCAACAATGAAATCTAACATCATGTTCTTCATAGTTGTAATAATTTCATTCAGAGAATGCAATTTTTGGTGCAGCGTGGTTGCAGTTGCAAGTAATTAAGATATCTTTTTATATACGCATGCATTGTCGAATATTCCTACCGAAGGTCGGTCGGTAGCATTGTAATTCTTGTGTGTTTGTGTTTGTGTGTTTTAGTTGAAAACTAGTTTCTTTAAGGTTTGATGTTATAACATTAAGATTCGTTATTTTTCTGTTATTGTAAATATGCCAAAAGAAACTACCTCTGTAATGGAGTGCTCGTCTGAATTAAAACTGATTTATCGTTACTACATGATAGTTCAACTGGTATATGTATATATATATATATATATATATATATATATATATATATATATATATATATATATATATATATATATATATATCAAATGCGTTTTGTTAAAATATACTTTTTCACTTTTTTGGTCTTTTGGAAAATGTTGTTTGTGCTGTATTTAGACCCCTCTAACAAGAAATTTGTTTTGCATGCACACGTATAAAAATTGCGGTTTTTATCCAACGCAATCATAGGTTTGAACGTTGTTTTCAATTTAGACTTGTTTATATTTTTTCGTTTGGGCTTGTATTATATTTGCCTTCGGGTTTATATGATCCGTTCATCCTATTTTGACTCCTCAAATTTCAGGAGTCTATCCTAAATTGAGGTAAATTGTATGGCTTTCCAAATACCGTTTCGATTCCTAACATCACTGAAGAGACATTAATTGTCGAAATCCGGATATGGTGTACAAAAACCTTTGCACCTTTTGTTTGCGGTATAACATCTTTTCCGCAGTTTATTGTTTTCTGTTTAGTATTAAATTTATATTTAAGATCCATTTATTTCATCGGTGATCCGTTTATTTGGCAATCGCCAATGGCAGTCAGCAGGGTTTAAGAACATTTGTTGTTCGACCTGTTAGTCAAATGCGTTTTGTTAAAATATACTTTTTCACTTTTTTGGTCTTTTGGAAAATGTTGTTTGTGCTGTATTTAGACCCCTCTAACAAGAAATTTGTTTTGCATGCACACGTATAAAAATTGCGGTTTTTATCCAACGCAATCATAGGTTTGAACGTTGTTTTCAATTTAGACTTGTTTATATTTTTTCGTTTGGGCTTGTATTATATTTGCCTTTGGGTTTATATGATCCGTTCATCCTATTTTGACTCCTCAAAATTCAGAAGTCTATCTTAAATTGAGGTAAATTGTATGGCTTTCCAAATACCGTTTCGATTCCTAACATCACTGAAGAGACATTAATTGTCGAAATCCGGATATGGTGTACAAAAACCTTTGCACCTTTTGTTTGCGGTATAACATCTTTTCCGCAGTTTATTGTTTTCTGTTTAGTATCAAATTTATATTTAAGATCCATTTATTTCATCGGTGATCCGTTTATTTGGCAATCGCCAATGGCAGTCAGCAGGGTTTAAGAACATTTGTTGTTCGACCTGTTAGTCAAATGCGTTTTGTTAAAATATACTTTTTCACTTTTTTGGTCTTTTGGAAAATGTTGTTTGTGCTGTATTTAGACCCCTCTAACAAGAAATTTGTTTTGCATGCACACGTATAAAAATTGCGGTTTTTATCCAACGCAATCATAGGTTTGAACGTTGTTTTCAATTTAGACTTGTTTATATTTTTTCGTTTGGGCTTGTATTATATTTGCCTTCGGGTTTATATGATCCGTTCATCCTATTTTGACTCCTCAAAATTCAGGAGTCTATATCCTAAATTGAGGTAAATTGTATGGCTTTCCAAATACCGTTTCGATTCCTAACATCACTGAAGAGACATTAATTGTCGAAATCCGGATATGGTGTACAAAAACCTTTGCACCTTTTGTTTGCGGTATAACAT